TATTTCTCCTCTTCGTCCTCCCCCTACTCTCTCATGCGTGTTCACTTCAATGAACTCAAAGACAAATCATTCAACACTAAACAGAAGACAGAAAGAAAGTTTTGACTTTCCTTCCACAAACTATGTAATTTTATTATCTGTGTAAACCCGCCACAAAATCAACAAACCTTTAACCCACACCACAGCATTGTAAAAGACGATATGCCTAGCAGAAAGTGCCTGCATAGCGAGATAAAATATAAACCTGTGAGCTCTCTCGCTTATCATTATTTACGATTGTGGAACACTTGCACCCGAATCAAGTATCCTGTACACAAGAAACACAAAAATTGACCCTGCTTCAAGTTCAGTTTGACATTTTCACTCGTCGCTTCGGGATATCAAATGCATTCTGGACGAGAAATTCTGTGAGGCGAAGTTGTACAGAAATTTATAAAGGATACTTTTCCGGGCATTTTGAAATTCCATTCTAAGATAATATTTCTTTTAAGCGTTATTTGAGGCCATTACTGCTTCTCCAGGACATAATATGTTGCTTACTTTGTTTTCAGTGAGATGGTACAAGCAGAACTGAGGGACGCGATTTCGATAATGGTAATAAAAAATCAATTGGCAATGCAGAGAAGAAGAAGAACAATATCAAGTACAAGAACAAGAACAAGAATAAGTACAAGAACTAGATCAAGAACAACACAAAACAAAAACAAGAACAAGAAAAGGAGTAAAAGAGGTAGAGAGTAAGAAAGCGACAAAAAAAAAAAGGAAATGAAATATTTTATTATATAGATCTATATAAAAAACGGAACGGACAAAAACCCCTGGATATGAACGTAGGTGGAAAGCAAGATGGTTCTATTTTGAAAGAAATAGGAGCTAGCAGTATGAGTGCCAATTATAATTTGATATGATACAGATTTGACCCACGTTTGTGGCATAACGATACTCATTGCATACCAGGAAGCTCAGTCGTTACCTATCACAAAAAACAACAACAACTGAAACTTGGACGTAGCAACGACAGTAAAACTTAATGAGCGTCTGGTCGCAGTGACTCGTGGTATGGGTTTCACCATGAATAATAATGATTTGAATCCAGATGACTACTGCTGTCTATAAAATGTAGGAAGATTATATTATACGTTTGCGTGTTTGCTTTTTTCAGTTATCCATTCTGGATGACTTGGTCTCATCAAGATACAGAACCGAAGGTAAAAGTAAACTTGCGCCCTGCCCTCTTTATTTTTTTTTCTTTACCTAGTATGCATACATGGCGCTTTCTCTCCCCACGGAGCCATATTTGAATTGTATTGACGTCAAGTAAGAAAGACGATTTTAAGAATGGATACTGTCTTAATTAACTTTTATTGAATCAAGAAGACAAACAGTGTACGTATGTGATTTTGTTTATAACTTGTGATGAATAAAATTACGCTCTCACTTAGATTGGGAGGGAATTGACTGAGTAGTAGAGAAGAAAGGCATTTGCTTATGCATTTGAGTGTTTCTCAGTTTGAGTTTCATTAGGAGGTTTACGGCACTTACAACACACCCAGGTCGTTTAAGAGCCGAAGATTAGAGGTGTTACGAGAGAGAGATAATATAAATAAAAGCAAGAGAGATATGGACTACAGATGTTTGATACACAAGAAGGAGTTAACCACCCCAGAACACCCGCCAACCATCCACATGGAGTGAGTGTGTCTCGAGTGAGCCCGTGTGGACGTTGGTGAAAGTATGTGTCGTACGTATGTTTGTGTGTACATTTGTGTATTTGTACCATTGATAGTTCTGACACGAAGCATGAGCTTCTCCAATATTTCTAGATGCAGAGGGTAAGATTGCAGTACTCACCTACTACTCTGTCGTTTTCAACAGTTATAATAATCATGAATAGACTAATTATTAATAATGATTGTAAAAATTAACAATACGACAATTAATAAGAATGATGGTACAACAGCAACAGCAAAAACAACAACAACAACAACAACAAAAACAACAACAACAACTACTACTACTACTACTACTACTACTACTACTACTACTACTACTACTACTACGACTACTACTACTACTACGACTACTACTACTACTACTACTACTACTACTACTACTACTATTACTACTACTGCTACTACCACTACCACTACTAACAACAACAACAACAACAGTAATAATGATAATGACAAGTTATTATAATAATTATTATAACTGTTATATCACTGACATACAGTAGAAATATTAAAAGTTATAGTTATGACGCTCTTAATAATGGTAAAAAAAAGTATCAATGTCATAATAATAATAACGGTAACATTTGAACGAAGAAAAATATCGATGATGATGATGATGATGATGATGATGATGATGATGATGATGATGATGATGATTATGATGATGATGATGATGATGATGATGATGATGATGATGATTATGATGATGATGATGATGATGATGATGATGATGATGATGATGATGATGATGATGATGATGATGATGATGGTGATAACAATAATTAAAAGAAATAAAAACAACAGTATAAATAGTAATAATAGTAACAATGTTAGGAATTGAACAAAAGCAAAAATGTGATAATTAAAATATAAAGAGAATAATAATAATACATATTGTATGAACATATAGAATCTGATAAAGATATTGATGAAGTTTAAACGATAATACTAATGATAATGATAACGATAATTGTAATGATAATGATGATTTTAAAAAAAGATAAATACATTTACAAATAATAATAATAATGATAATAACAGTAATAAATATAATAATAATAATAATAATAATAATAATAATAATAATAATAATAATAATAATAATAATAATAATAATAATATTTTTTCTCTCTTTCAGATAAACACTTTCAGGCACACAAATTTACAGATGTACGAACATGTGCACATGCAGACACACGCACATATCACAATATACTCACAAACGTACACTCATGCAACCCCCCCCCCCGGTAAAAAAACACAAACGAAATAACAACAAACAATAAAACAAAAAACTACTGTCCTTCTTTCATACATGCACGCCTATATGTAAAACTTACACCAACAATTCTGGTGAAGCAGATAAAAGTAGAGTTCACATTTCTGTTTATAAACTAATGTGAGCACAACAAGATCAAAGAAATGATGGGACAACACCAGCTGCCCTCCACTACATTCCAAGGCAAACAATCAGGTTGTTTGGACATCTCACACATGTGGCCCCTCACCAGCTCGCCAGTAAAGACTATTACAGAAAAGAACAGGGTACAACACAAGAGGAAGACCAAGAAAGACCTGGATCCAAAGTGTGAAGGGTACCCTGAGAACATACAATATCCGACCCAGCCAAGCCATCAAGCTTGCTAGAGATAGAAAGCTCTTTCTCCCCTCGACGCCCTAGAGGTACAAGAATACGGATAAAGTGACGTTAAGTTAAGTAGGTGAACACAGCTTACCTTGTGTAACTGCTAATGCTAAGACGGAAGCAAGGAAAAGCTTCATGGTCACTGTCACGTATGAGTTCATCCTGTCAGAAATGAGCGGTCATACGTTGAGCATCCCTTATAGTCGAGTTTTCAAACAGAGCAAGATATCCGAGGTCTTTGCAAGGAAGTTCTTTTAAAACTTCACTTGTAGGGCAGGTCAGTTATCTTTCCTAGCACTTTGGGTGATTTTTATGCCCCCAGGTGAGCGGCAGGGTGACTCGAACCTGTTCACACAAAGTGCACGATGAATCGATGGTGTAGTTGGTGTGAGAGACCGTAATTATGTTTGTACTACAAATAAAACACTGAAATCGGAAAGTCGACGTAATATATTATTGATTAACAATAGTATAACGAGTAAGATGACGTGATCAGGAAAAGAACAGCAGAAATTGGAAACACCAAAAGGAATACTTTCGTTTTTAGTCCGCCGATAATTCCTCTAAACTTACGTATCCTTTCTTGTTGAGTCTTTTAATCCGATGTAAAGTCAGGTGATCAAACAAATCGAATCCACTGATGACGTCCAGAAACGAAACTACAAACTTTAAACTTTCACTTTCAGGAAAAAACGAATGCGCTGTTTTAAAACGCGACTGAAAACCTGTAAGCTTACATCCAAGAAAAACAAACGGTAAACATAAACAGCAACACAGCACACTGTTCTATATTGAGTACGAAAGGCCTGCCAGATACTTTCTGTCTAGCGTCCATTAAACGTCCATTCCGCTCTATTTGCGACAGCCAGGCCCAGACTGGCAGCAGACGACCTCCCCGTCTCCCGCAGTTCTGCCTGAGTTTCCCTCTCAGTGGTCTTTCCTCCTCAGTTCAACACCCACCTTGCGCCGAACTTTTGTCTCAACTGGGATTTCCTCTGTCGCTCCGCTGCGCGCGACAATTAACGAATGCCGCTCAGTGGAACAGCGACGAGAGTTTGCTTCGTTGCGGTGCACAATGCCAGCAACTAGTGGATACGTTTTTGAAGTGGGAAATGCAGCGTGACTCTGTAAAGTTAGATACAAGATTCTGTTCGCAATTTTTGCCCTATTAGAAGCACCCACTATTAAAATAGAGGACGTAATGTATCCTTTATTTAATTATAAATTCACAGTACTTGCAATTCCTCTTTTGACACGGAGTCACTCTTCTGCAGATTTGGAATTATTTCACCACAAAATCCTATGAAATGTTTGCCTACTGCTTTACAACAACAAAAAATGAGCCTGTTTTCCGAATAGTTACCACTGGTCAACGTCTAGAAAAAAACCCACATCAAATTGTCAAGAAAATATGACTCAACGTTGCTGGGGAGCATGAAAAGTAGCAACAGTTTCCTCATTGATAAAGAACTTCCGCCCAAAGACGATTAAATGGAACTGCTTTTTCCAGTTGTGAAGCTCCTTTAATACTTGAACAATAGCTCTCTCTCTCTTCTCTCACTAGATATCTAGTGAACTGTCTATGTAAAGGCGTTAGATTTTTTTTTTCAATTGATGAGCTGCATCAGAAGAATTAATACGGATATAATGAAAGAGTAAAATTCAACTTGCGGAGTTTCTGTAAGCAGTGCACGTTCAGTTTGAATTGATCAATCAATACGAGAACTTGTGAGGAACATTCCTTTGGACAGTGCGCGTCCCCCCTTGAGTCAGCGGAAAAAGGGGCCCGCTCAGCTACCGCGCATGGCGGATGTAAACCGATTAAGGCGCGAGCGACGTGCGCTCCTAGCGGGAGAGCCAATCAAATGGAATGTTACACGCGAATGGGCGTGGTGAGGCGGAAGTTAACTGGCCTCCTTCAATACGAATTACTTTTCGGAGTGTCCATGGAACCATGTAAATTATTATGATGTCATAGTCTTCTTATGGGCAGCGGACAAAGACGCCGCAGGGTGGAAGAAAAACCTCGTGGTTTCTACCAGAAAATGTTTCACATGTTCCAAGGGATCCCTCACCAGTTAAACGAAAGACACCCGATTTCTTCCCCTTCGAAGACGTCTGCTGTTAGTTTATACAACCCCCTTGTAGGTTTTAAAATAAATGCACTTGTTCCAACATGCTCATGAATACTTTTGAGCTTACGAAGTATTATGTGGTCTCTGAATAGTATGAAAGTGCACAAATGATACCCTAACGGAAACGATTGATATTTAAAAACCCTGAAAAAAATCCCTTTCAGACATAAATTCACCTCTTCCCTTTGAATTTTTCCAAAATTAATTACAGTTCATTCACCCAAGATAATATGTATTCGAATGCATTTCTCTTGTAAAATGCATTTTCTCAACTGTCGAGGTTTTATCAACGAAAATGCACTTACATGTTTCATGCATGGAATGATAAAAGTCTGTGATAATGTGTTATTATGAATGAATAAGGAAGGCATTATATAGGTGCAAATTTGGATAGAAAACACACACGCACAGGAGCGCGCTTCCACGTGCACATAACCATAATAGTACAAGAGTATACTTACAATCACAAACAGGCTCACAGGTACATGCATAATATAAACGAACAATGAATGTTAACATTACTAACTAGTGTTAATCAATAACGTAATCAATATATTCTGATTGTAACACAATGTTATTCTGATATTGCATTCTCTAAAGGTCAGAGGAATACCAATGGCATGGTACCAAGATTAAACAAACCCAAACTTACGTAGTGTGGTATGGTATGGTATTTCGGGGTTTTTTCACGAGAGTTTTACGGCCCTTTCAACAAAATTAGGTCATATAAGTGCCGAAAATTAGAGGTGTTAAAAGAGAACAAAAAACGCAAAACAAAGGAGGCGGAAAGACAAAGACGATAGGTATTTGCTAAAAAAAAAGGAAGAGCAAACCACACCAGAGCAGCCGCCAACAACTGAAGATGGTATGGTATGGTATGGTATGGTATGGTATGGTATGGTATGGTATGGTATGGTATGGGTTTTTAATACTTTTCAACTCTATGGGGTTCTATAAAGATGTCAGAATATATCGGTCATCACGGGGCCAAGACAAAATTAAACTGTTGGAAAGCTTTGAAAACTTTTAAAGCAATGAAGGTTCAAGAACACCAAACTGATGCTTGGAATCAGAGTTATTTACTATCGTTATTCTTGGAGGAAAAAAATCCAAGCTATCGGCACAATTTAACGTATGTCTCAAGAGCAAAAGTTACGCAACAAATAAAGGATGACACTTGCCTGAGCATACAATACCAGAACCTTTTGTTTTAATGTAAGTGTTTTTACGCCCCCATTTTCACATATTTAATCATTTAGGAAGCAAGCATTGACTCTGAATAAAAGGCAAACAAGGGCTGAGAGAGACTGAGATACTCGATAAAAGCCTCTCCACACAGGAATCGAACTCAGGGGGTCTTTACCGTGCGACAGCACAGGCAGCACATAACCGCTGCACTACAAATGCCTGTACAACACAATTTAAACATGAGGACGGAGTGGTGAATCAGCCGAATCGTAATGCATGGGCAAATGTTTGTATCGTACGCCTACGTAAAAAGAACATGACATTTTTGTTTTATGGAGACATTGACTGGATGAGCTATGTGTTTTCTCTTTGTTCTTGATTATGCTTAATGTGTCCCCCCAGCTTACATTACTTAATTAAAAGGCCCCTGTTTCTACCACGGCTTAGGTAGTATAAGAAAGCCTAGGCATTCCAGTTTCCTTCAATAAAAATCGTCTTCAAAACTTGCGTTATTAAAACGACAGAACTCCGGATTTGGAGACCAGAGGAAAGGCATTTTGCCGGTACCAGTCATTCTCTTTACCGTATGATTAGGCTATTCAAGAGGTGGGCATTCCGAATTCTGCGTCCATCTCAGACTGGACCAAGCCCATGCAGATAGAAAACCACGATGACTCCCCAAACAACATCTACTAGAGATTCAAACTTTAGCCATCCACTTTGCAATCCAGCATCAAATCAAATGAGCTATAGGGCCGTCCACATTATACCCCAACGTCGAAGGCACAGTACTTATTTTAAATCATAATATTACGATTTGATCGGTTTTTTAAAATTATGGTGCGGCAGAGAGACTATTGTGGCCACTTCCAACCCGACCTGGTGGCATGTTACACGAATTCCTTGTGAGTTCAAAAGGAAGGTCGTGAAAAGTTAGGCAGCAGTCAATCTACCGCGACTGTCATATAGTATTAGATTGGTTAGCAGGCGAAATCCCAAAGACCTGAAGTAGAAGGCAAAGGGGATATTAACACGTAATGGGAGTTTGATTGTAATGTAAGGATAGGACATGTGGACTGGACATGAACATGAACTGAGACATAAGAACAGGTACCACACGAACAGGAGACGCTGTTCTCATTGCCATAGAGTAGTGAGTTCAAAGTTTGCCCTTTTAAAATTATTTCTACGACGTCCAGGTAGCCATTTAGAGACCAACTTATAATCCTTACAGTTTTCAGGATTCAAAGCAGACAGTGGTCTTGTTCAAGGCTTTTTTTTTTTGGGGGGGGGGGGTTATAGATATTTCAGAAATGAATTTAAGCAATAATAAATAATATGCTCAAACAAAACATTCTCATAAAAAGCAAGGGATATTGACAACTGCACTAACTGTAGGTTCCACTCTTCTAATGGGGAACAAAGAACATCATCTTGTTTATCATAAGAAAGCTCCCGAAAAGAACCGCTTTTGTTTACCAGTAATTTATTTGACATGGGTGCCTGTGCTTAACATTGGATATAACTGCAATTAAAAAATCAAATGAAACGAACGAACCCCTGCCTCATATATTTAAGTGTTGCCTAATCATTATTCGATAAGGTTAACAACCCGCAAAGCACCCTCATGCTCGAAAGCTTGGCTTTAGCCTGTTTCAAGGTTTCTTAAGTTTCAAGCGAGTGCACACGAGCACACTTAGTGATTGCGGGATACCTATTGTATTGAAAGACTTGTTTTGCTTAAGCCAACACGTTGCCATAAATTGTGCCTTACGCCTACACACGTTTTTTGCAAGTAGCAGAACTCGTAAAACCATTTAGTGCAATAAATGCTGTGACAAAAAGTAAACGTTTTTTTCCGTACTTTTACTTCATGCTGAATCATCGGAACAGCTCTCTTTTGTACCAGTTTGCCACTTCAGGACTAGTCTAGAAAAATGACAGATGCTCAAAACACCTTGTGGTCATCTCCGATACGAAGGGACCAAATAAGTGGAAACGGCAATGAATCCCAAAAGAATGCACGTTCAACATTAGATATTCCAACTGGATTTATCCGCACTGTATTCAATTATGATACCAATTGGGCTAACGGTTGATCACTGTGATTTTCAACATTAAAATAATAGACAGCATTTGTATAGCCCAAATTCCCGCTCAACAGCAAGATCTATCCGCTTCACAATCTATACTATCACCCCAGCAGACCTGAGAACATTCTGAAACAAACTCAACTTCCTGGGAAGGATACAGTGCAAGCAGCTATTTATAGGCGATAAAACACTAATATACTGACAAGATGTTTCGCTGTCTATGGCCGGGTACCCATTTCCACCTGGGTGAAGTTAGGAAAATGCGTGTAAAGTGCCTTTCCCAAGGACACAATGTCGGGCCCGCGGCTCTAACCCTCGACTCCGCAACCTCACGAGTACGAGTCCGGTAGCCTAACCACTAGGCCACCGACCACTAATTGAATAACTAGTGTCTAATTACCATCTTAGATGATAAATAAAAAGGAAACGAAACAGCTTTATAGTTCACCTGAGTAAAAAAACATGAGCTATCATTTTAAGAAACCAACATTTTTTTTAGTAATTGAAACAGGAGTTGACAACTCGCTTTCCCAGAATTAAAAAGTTCTGTCTGCTCAGTACCTAGTTTTGAAAAATTTGACCTAAAAAATTTTGGGTTTCACATCATGTCAAGCTGTTTCGAACGCAATTCCTTGAATATCTCGATAGCGACACCCAATAATCTTACGATTTTGACAGGGAAGATAAAATGTTTGTTTTCTGACCTCATTGTGTTAGTAACTCAAAACGGTTTGTAATTCTGAGGTAGCGAACAGTGCACCCAGTTCAACAAGCCAGGCACTCATTTCCTCTTAGAAACAGCCTGTCCTTCTTTAGTTTTAAATGGTGACTATAAAGAGCACATTTCCTTATCACACGTAATCTCTACGCGTGCTCATCTGGTCTAATCTGTTTCACCGCGTAAACAAATAACCGGCTGAGCAACAGGGCAGGAAAAGGTTTGTTTGCCAAGCAAACACCGCCAGGCAAATGGGTTATCCATTCAAAGGCCTCAAAAGTCATAAATTCCATGTTCACACTGACTCTCCTATCGACAACCGCATTGTATTCCCAATAATCTATAACAATGCTACATCAAGAAATGGGCCAAAAGTGGCTAAAATTGGAAGCCGAGTTTATGAACCGTTTGCCCCAGGGAAGGTTAAGTCCCTTCCCAAACTGCAGAAGATCAAGTCAAACAAAAGCGATCGTGCTTGTAGAGAGCAGATATCTTGAATGTAGTGCCAGAAATTTTGTTTAAAGCCCCTTTTGCTGTCTAACATACTTTTCTGGAGCTTGAAGCATGCTGAATGGACGCCATATGGTCCACTGTGTTTAATACGAGGATTTTCTAAATTTATCCAGAGGCAAGAACAGCGTTTGATTTGGACAGCATGT